CTGGGCATGGTGGTGCATGCCTGTAGTCCCAGCTACTTGGGAGGCTGAGGCAGGAGGATCACTTGAGGTTGCTGTGAGCTAGGCTGACGCCACGGCACTCCAGCCAGGGCAACAGGGCCAGACTCTGTCTCAAAAAAAAAAAAAGAAATACAACTGCTTTGAAAACAATTTGAAGAACTTCACTACATTTATGAGATCCTTTGTAAACTCCTCAGATTTAAAACAAAAACCAAAAGCCTTTGAAATCATTCTTCCGATAATGAAGCCAGCAAGGCAGATATCTAAAGGTTCAAAAGAGGCTGATCCCTACTCAGGTGAAAGGATCAATAGCTGCTTTTTATGCTTTAGTTTCAGAATTGTGATTCTAATGAATGTTAGAGCTGAGATGAGCCTCAGAGATCATCTGGTCTAACTCTCCCTTAACAGCTGAGGAAACTGGAGAAACTGAATGCTTTCCCCAAGGTCATAGGAGTAAATGTGTGACAGCACTAGTTCTGGAATACAAGTCTCCTGCCTCCCAATCCAATGCTTCTGTAGATTATATATACAATTGAGGGGCATTTTTGTGTTCCCAGGGTACAGTCTTTAGCAACTGGTAAAATTTGTTAAAAAAAGAAAGAAAGAAAGAAAGATAAAAACCAGCCTGGGCAACACAGCAAGACCCTGTTCTCTACAAATAATAAAAAACATTAGCCAGGCAAGGTGGTGTGCACCTGTAGTCCTAGCTACTTGGGAGGTTGAGGCTGCAGTGAGCTATGATCACACCATTGCACTCAGCCTGGGTGACAGGGCAAGACCCTGTCTCTCTTTTTTTTAATTTTAGAGACAGAGGTCTTGCTCTTGCTCAGGCTGGTCTCAAACTCCTGGCCTCAAGCAATCCTCCCAACTCAGCTTCCTAAAGTGCTGGGATTACTGGTGCAAGCCACTGCACCTGGCCCAGTAATATATTATCAGAGACTCCTATTTCAGGAAAGTTTTCAAGCTTTCCCCATTTGTGTTTGTCAAACCCCCTCAACACCTATTCCCATCAGTTAGTCTCATTTATTAATAGTAAGAAATAGTCAAAATCAAGATCAATAGATAGAACAATTAATCTGTAATCAGGTCATAGCATTACTTCTGGAAAAGATCAACACCAGGTAGAAGACAAAACAAAGACTTGCTCTAAGTTCTCACCGTTTCATTTGCTTCCTGTTGCTTTTCATCAAAATCTCTGATCAACTTCTTCTTTTCTTCTAGAAAAAATAGGTAAGTTTAAAATGCTCATTTAGTATTTCCATACATTTGTAAAGGCCGTTTCCTCTGCTTAGAATAAACTTCCCATTCCTCCCAGGGTGGAGGTAGTTTATACTTCTCACCCCTAAAAGGCATTTAGAAATGTAAGGGGAATTGTTATCACAAAGACTGAGGGGGAGGGAAGAGGAGGAGAAGGGTATTACTACTGACATTTAGTATCCAGGGAACAAGATGACCCATGTTTGGGACAGTTCTGCATAATTATTTGGTCCCCAAAACCAATAGCGTCACTACTAAGAAGCACTAAGCTCATCACTCCCAACCTTTTCTCTCCCCTCATCCTGAGGGACCAGGCACACTTTCATCAGTAAGAATGTTTACCGACAGTGGTTCTCTAAAACCCCTGTCCCTACCTTCACCCCAAAGGTGAATCACTTCTTCTGTATTAACCCTTATCCACTACTTTTCTGCAAAACAGATTCGAAATTCACCTACTCTGCTCACTGGGAGGCTGTATGGTATGGTGCTTGTCCCTCCCTGGGGGTGGCATAGGTGATGACTCTCATAGTGAGAATGTCATTCCCCTTTCAGCCTTTCCCATGATGTCATTTTGATGCTAGTATGTCTTTAATATCTGAAAATTATCAATCTCCCCTTTTAACAAAAATAGAACAGGCTTCAGCTTCAAAGCATTAATACTAAAAGAGTATTAATTTGCCTTCATTGTACTTTTTCTGATCATTTACAGATTATACAGGTTTTCCATTTAAAATATATCATTTCCTTTTTAAATAACTATGTATTAAACAAATGTATTTTACATGAATTAAGTTGATATAAAGAAAACAAGTCATAGTACTTGGTACTCCCTCCTTATTGGGTCCTAAAAAAAAAAGATACTTGTACTTGGCAAAAATTGTGAAGGGAGTACTGGAATCTGTCACCTGGTAAACATTTGTATAGGGAGAAAGCCCTGGTCAGTCAGGGGGGTTAGGTTCCGGTGCCAGGTTTGGGCCTGCCTCTACATGTAAGCTTGGATAACTTTTTTCATCTCTTTGGGACCTGACCTCTTTCCTTGGCTATAAAATGAGGAAGTGGGTCATCCTTCTATATCTAAACTAACGAGCAAAAATTAGCCCTATTTATGAAGAGCCTGTTTTTTTTTTTTTTAAAGAGTTCTATTGCTTAATGATTCTTTAAAAAACTGTATACATCCAAATGAATGTTCTACCTAGAAATCTACACATATTTATTAACACAAAATTACCATTGCTTACAATATTTTTTTAACTCATCTTTTGGGATTTCCTTTGCATTCTGTGGATACAATCTTTTATTTCTTTTTTAAAGTTGTGGCAAAATATACATAACATAAAATTTACCATCTTGACCATTTTTAAGTGTATAGTTCTGTGACATTAAATATATTTGCACTGTTTTGTAACCATTACCACTATGCATCTCCAGAACTAGTTTGTCATCTGAAACTGAAACTTCATACCCATTAAACACTACCACCCCCAGTCTATGAATTTGGTGACTCTAGGTACATCATGTAAGTGAAATCATACAGTATTGTCCTTTGTGTTTGGCTTATTTCACTCAGCATAATGTCTTCAAGGTTCATCCGTGTTGTAGCACGTATGGGGATATGGTCTTTTAAGCTATGTATTTTTCATTCAATGTGACTCCTAAATACAAGCTGTCTCTTCCATCACTTGAAGAAAGAGCAATCTCTTCCAACGCCAAAGAAAGCAGATAAGTTGGGCTCCTGGAGAGATGACATGTGGGTACTCAATATGCTGTCCTGAGATTTTTCTTGGATAATTTTGTCTACCCTGATTTTCATCTTAAGCCCTTTCTAACCCGGCCCCACATAAGATGCAATGTCACTGCAATGCTTTACATGGACTTACATTTTGTTAATTGCAACAGCATCTAATATATCAGTTGTCTGCTGCTTTTTAAGTGATCATAAATCACTCTGGATGTGTATGTTCTATATTCCCAATCTGAGATCACACTCCTCCAGATAGGGACATTTACTTTGTCTTTTCTACTTTGTCCATAGCTTCTAGAACTTTAAATCTCCTTAGGTGTACTTCCTGAAAGAGCAAATGACAACACACCCTTTACTATGTCTGTCATGTGACAATCCCTGAATATATACACAAGGCATTCCAGGTGAACTATTTCTCCACACTGCTCACAAAACCTGTGACTCCATTTGTTGTTTTAAAAAAGACAGGGGAAAGTTCAGCCATGGCAAATGGTACACAACTCACCATCGTGGTGTAACTGAAATGAGCACGAAAGCAGCTGTTACCATTCCTGGGGGGCTGTGTGTTTTTTTGTTTGTTTGTTTTGTTTTTTTAAGACAGAGTCTCACTCTGTTGCCCTAGAGTGCTGTGGCATCAGCCTTGCTCATGGCAACCTTGAACTCCTGGGCTCACGGGATCCTCCTACCTCAGCCTCCCAACCAGCTGGGACTACAGGCACATACCACCACACCTGGCTAATTTTTTTCTATTTTAGTAGAGATGGGGTCTCGCTCTTGCTCAGGCTGGCCTTGAACTCCTGACCTCAAGCAATCCTCCCTCCTTGGCCTCCCAGAGTGCTAGGATTATAGGTGTGAGCCACTGAGCCCGGCCAGGGGGCTGTGTTCTTAAGCAGCAGTGAAATAATACCTGCAGTCAAGAATGGCTACTTCATGAAGCAGTATCATATTATTTGGTAATACGTTACAAAAGCGCTGAGTGTCATCACTCCTCTGAATTTGCACATCTTCAAACTCAAGAACACTCACTCCTGATCCAAGCCAGACAGTAAGAAGCAGCACTGTACACATACCTGTATTCCCTTCCCAGCTCTGATTTTTCTACAACTATGTTAAAAGACTCCTCCTTTATTCTTCTTTTGTTCATGGGTATGCAGATCTGCATTCTCAAGAGGCAAATTCTAGAATGATTCATGGAAAGTAACTACATAAATGAAAGTAGGGGGAGAAAAGGTAGCTCACAGGACCTCTATTATTATCACTAACTTCCCTGTGTTAGGAAGTTAGTCATGCTCAGTCTTTTTGGAGTTGGAATATTCCACTTTTTACGTGATTTCATAAAACACGCACTTCCTCTGATTAGTACTCTACAGCTTATATACTTTTAAAAGAAATACAGGCCGGGTGTGGTGGCTCATGCCTGTAATCCTAGCACTCTGGGAGGCTGAGGCAGGTGGATCCCTCAAGGTCAGGAGTTCGAGACCAGCCTAAGCAAGAGCAAGACCCTGTCTCTACTAAAAATAGAAAGAAATTATCTGGACAACTAAAAAAATATATATAGAAAAAATCAGCCGGGCATGGTGGTGCATGCCTGTAGTCCCAGCTACTTGGGAGGCTGAGGCAGGAGGATCACTTGAGGTTGCTGTGAGCTAGGCTGACGCCACGGCACTCCAGCCAGGGCAACAGGGCCAGACTCTGTCTCAAAAAAAAAAAAAGAAATACAACTGCTTTGAAAACAATTTGAAGAACTTCACTACATTTATGAGATCCTTTGTAAACTCCTCAGATTTAAAACAAAAACCAAAAGCCTTTGAAATCATTCTTCCGATAATGAAGCCAGCAAGGCAGATATCTAAAGGTTCAAAAGAGGCTGGTCCCTACTCAGGTGAAAGGATCAATAGCTGCTTTTTATGCTTTAGTTTCAGAATTGTGATTCTAATGAATGTTAGAGCTGAGATGAGCCTCAGAGATCATCTGGTCTAACTCTCCCTTAACAGCTGAGGAAACTGGAGAAACTGAATGCTTTCCCCAAGGTCATAGGAGTAAATGTGTGACAGCACTAGTTCTGGAATACAAGTCTCCTGCCTCCCAATCCAATGCTTCTGTAGATTATATATACAATTGAGGGGCATTTTTGTGTTCCCAGGGTACAGTCTTTAGCAACTGGTAAAATTTGTTAAAAAAAGAAAGAAAGAAAGAAAGATAAAAACCAGCCTGGGCAACACAGCAAGACCCTGTTCTCTACAAATAATAAAAAACATTAGCCAGGCAAGGTGGTGTGCACCTGTAGTCCTAGCTACTTGGGAGGTTGAGGCTGCAGTGAGCTATGATCACACCATTGCACTCAGCCTGGGTGACAGGGCAAGACCCTGTCTCTCTTTTTTTTAATTTTAGAGACAGAGGTCTTGCTCTTGCTCAGGCTGGTCTCGAACTCCTGACCTTAAGTGATCCTCCCACCTAGGCCTCCCAAAGTGCTGGGATTACAGGCGTGAGCCACTGCGCCCAGCCAGAGACCCTGTCTCTTAAAAAAACAAAAACAAAAACCCAGCAGAACTGCATCCTGGGTAGAATGGGCACCAGAAACAACACTGAGCCACTGCAAACACCACTATCCCCCACCCCACAAGCCTTCCCAAACCAGTCATGTGTGAGAGACTGACTCACTCTGAGACTGACTCTGTTTCCTTTGGTAAACTGGGGGATGGTGACACCATTCCCTGGACATGGAATAAAATGGAAACAGCCAGTCCTGAAAAACAAAGCTAGAGATAGTCCACCTTAATGTTCACCCAAGGTGGGCGGCCTCTCTTCCTTACTGGGTCTGAATTACCAGCCTAAGAATGACTAATCTTGGCCCGTTAAGAGCTGTGGAACTAACTTCAGTTTCATAAGGAGCCCAAAAATATGCAATTAGTTTGCTTTTGGCACCTCACTGTGGCATTTCTACAACCTACATCTTCTATTTGTAAATGACAACAGTTTAGGAGTTAAAAGCATCCCTCTCAACCTCTTTCCTTATCTGCAAATAGACACTATAGACTACTGACCTCATAGGGTTGTTTGAAAGGGTTAAAAGAAATAATACATATAACAAGCACTTAGCATAATAAGGGTTCAATAAATAGGAACCACCATTGTTTCTGGAAGTAAATTCTTAGGTAGGAAGACTTAAGAGAAAAACAAAATTCACCAGTATAAGCTACATGCAAGGGCTGTATTATGTACATTATGCAGTGCCTACTAATTCATCATGGGCATTAAAATTTATGAAGTGGTCTCCAAACTAGAAAAAGAGGATTCAGAGACAAGGCCCTGTGTGTTTCTTAATTAAATTTAATATATTCAACAAATATTTATTGAACGGTATGAATGAGGTAGTGAATAAGGAGATAAAGTTGTTGAATTCTTATCAGAACTGTGGAAAATACGTATAATTTATTTACCTATCCATTAAACAACTAAGTCTATTACCAGCAACTTAGAGTATTTTGTGCTTGAGTAGAAATTCACACTTTTCTGATTTCCCTCTTGGCAGGAATGAGAAGGTTAGACAACAAGGGTGAATATAATTCTTAGTCTGTTTTTTCTTGCTGTAACCGAATAACTGAGACTGGATAATTTATAAGGAAAAGAAACTTATTTCTCTGGAGGCTGAGAAGTCCAAGGTTGAGGGGCCCACATCTCTTGAGGTTTTTCTTGCTTCCTATGGGTTATCCAGTGGAGGAAGGTGGAAGGGCAAGAGGATGAGAAAGCAAACGAGAAGGGCAAACTCACTTTTATAATAACCCACCATGGCAATAACAAACCTACTTGGCATTAATTTATTCACAAGGGCAGAGTCCTCATGGCCTAATCACCTCTTAACGTCCCATCTCTTAATACCATCACAATGGCAATTAAATTTCAATTTTTTTTTAAGCCTACAATACCCAGTATTCCCAGGTTGTCTCCCACCCAAGTACTAAACGGGCCTGACCCTGCTTAGCTTCTGAGGTTAAAAGAGGTCAGCACATTCAGGGTAATATGGCTGTAGATTGCATGTGAATTTTGGAGGGGACAGTCAAACCATAGCAATAACTAATTCAGCTTTCTATTTTTCAAAATGGAATGCTCCTTTGCATTATTTAGCCTTGTAGAAATGATAGAAAGATGCTGCAAAAATGAATTTAGGGGCAGGCTGAAAATGTAGTCTACTTTTCAACCACATAAGATCTCATCGCACTCCTGCTCAATAGCTTTTGACTGCATCCCATCATATTTAGAAAAGGCACAAATCTTCTCCCATGGACTATGAGGTCCCATCTGATCTGGCCCTGCCTACCTTTCTCCTTTGCTCACTCCATTCCAAACACACTGACCTTTCCATTCTTCTTTGAACACACCAAGCTCATTTCTGCTTAAGGGCCTTTGCAGCGCTATCCCCTCCTCTTGACACTTCTCTCAGATTTCTGCATGATTTACTCCCTCACTTTATTCAAGTCTCTGCTCAAATGCCATCTCCTTAGAGAAGCCTTTCACAGCCACCCTATTTAAAATTGAAGCCGCCTCGCCTATTCCTTTTTTTTTAAAAGCCAGTCAAATTTAGCAGTGGGGTTTTATACCAATTTTGGTGACACTAATGTTAATAAGTTCTGAAAACCTACCACCATTGGACCAGCCATCCCCTATTCCTTTACCCTGCTTTATTTCCCTGTATTGCTCTTAACATTGCCTCTTAATATTTACATATTATCACCCACCCACCAGAATGGGGATTTGTGTGTCCTTTTCAACTGTATTTTCCAATATTAACTAGCACCTAGGACAGTGCCTGGCACACAGGAGTCTCTCAATAAAGATAAATTACACACACATGAATTTCATTCTCTCCAGAGTCATTAAATTCACATGACCTTGGGTAATTCATAGAGCAAACACCCAAATTCTCTCTTTTTTTTTTTTTTTTGAGAAAGGGTCTTGCTCTATAAACCGTGCTAGAGTGCCGTGGCGTCAGCCTAGCTCACAGCAATCTCAAACTCCTGGGCCCAAGCAATCCTCCTGCCTCAGCCTCCGGAGTAGCTGGGACTACAGGCTCGCACCACCACGCCTGGCTAATTTTTCTATTTTTGTAGAGACGGGGTCTCACTGTTTCTTAGGCTGATCTTGAACTCCAGAGCTCAAGCGATCTGGGAGGCTCACCTCGGCCTCCTAGAGTACTAGAATTACAGGCATGAGCCACCACACCTAGCCCAAGTTCTCACTCTTAAGTAAAAACAATAAAACAAAGTCTTCTCCTTGCCATTAAAATCTGTTTGTCCAGAGGTCAAGAACTATGGCAGATTTAGGGCTGGAAAACTCTAGCTCCTTCAGACAGAGCTTGCAACAACCTGAATCTTGAAATTAAGAGACAGTAAATAGTCTAAGTAGTAAGAAAATTCAAAACAAGACCACATCTAAACTCCACAATTCTGGTTTTAAAGACTAACCCCATATCTAGCATTTACCAGTATTTATCATTACCCATAAGTTATGATTCTTTTGGTTTCTTAACCATTTTTATGCCACAGATCGTTTGTAAGTCTGGTGAAAACTATGGACCTCCAATGAAAATAACGCTTTTGAATGAGTAAAATACAAAGAGCTTCAAAAGAAACCCATTCTACTGAATTACAGGACCGCAGATTTAAGAATCCCTATGCTCTTCTTGCCACAGTGAAAAAGAGAAAATTTTAATAGCCAAGGAGGCATCCAGGGAGACGACACCCGCCGCCCATTCCTGAACACGCCTCCAGTTCACCCTAAGCGGCAGCAGGGAGATCCTGGGCACCCGGACCCAGCCAGCCCTCGGGGGCGTGTCTTGAGGATAAGGAGCGAAGAGGGCCTGGGTCTGGGAGGAAGGTCGGGGCCGAGTTCTCCACGGCTTGGCCTATCCCCAGCCTCACCTGTCCCTGCCGTCCCCAGGAGCCGCCCGGGCACCCCTTGTAGGTCTTCATGGAGGCCGCGGAAGATCTCGTGCAGTTTCTCGAAATGCTCCGAGGAGGCGGCGGAGGTGGCCATGGCGCAGGCAGCGCTCGAGCAGCGGCCGCCGAGATTCTGGGCGCTGGGCCCGCTCCTAGCCCGGTGGTCAGCCGCCCAGCCCCGTAGCCATCACGGCGACCGCCAGACCACGGCCGCCCAGTATGAGGCGCTTCCGGGGCCGCGGCGGGGTCCTCCCGAGCCGGAACGCCCACCCCCTCCAGCCTGTCACTGAGAGAGCGCCAGGCTCGAAAGCCTGACAAAAAGTCACGCGTGCTACGTTGCCCAGGCGACTCCTGGAGGTGCAGTGCTGCGCAGAGGCGAGCGGCAGTTCCAGAACCCTGGAACTACCCCTTTTGGGGTTGAGAAAGGCGCACGGCGAAAGGGCCCAAGGGGAACCAGGAGACGGGCAGCTTGGCCGCCTACCTCCCGGGCCCCACCGGCCGGCGAGGGGCGGGCACCGTAATGCATGCCGGGGGATGTAGTTCGACCGGAGAACGCGCCCAGTCGCGGGCGTCGCGCAAGTTTTCCAGGGCGGGTGGTTCAGCCAGCGCCGCGGCCGCCAGGGGTCGCACTGGTGGGCGGTGGTTTAGCACCTGTTTGCGCCTAGACGTCATCTTCGCTATCATCGGTCTTTGCTTTGCCACCCTGACTTCCTCATTCGGGTCCTGACTGAACGTTAGCTTTCAGCCCTGGAAGGATAACAGAGCCAGGGCCCCGCCTGCCTTCGGCAGTAAAGCACCTTTACTGGGGAGGTCAAGTGGCTCCCCACGCTTTCAGAAATGGAACCCAGGCGGCATGACCCTAAAATAAGCACTCATCCTCTAGCGGCCGGCCCGCCTAGCGCGCTAGCCTGCCTGCTGCGTTTGTTGACAACAGGTGTAAGTGTAGGGATCTGGGCATATGTTGGCGAATGAAATAGATGTACTCTCTGCCCGTGAGTAACGTCTGATACGGTGTGGACCAGGCTTCATCAGGTCTCATCTGCCGCTAAGTGTAATGTGTTAACAATTACAAAGTACTTTCCAGCACTCCATGGGTATAAATTCCTATTTTCACTAATTTCATGGTTTCCTCAAGGAGCCCGTTCTCAAATGTTTGCTTGGGAACTCAATACTTAACCCACCCATGTATATTAAAAAAATATATGAATATTCAGGGAAAATGGTTTGTGATTTATATCTTCTGGGCCCTCATTTTTATTAGATCGAGTTCATTGACCACTGATTCAACACACTTTTGTTGAGCTCTTAATTCACGCTGAGCGTAGAGAGATGACAAAGTCTGAGGTTAGTGGCAGTGTACTGTGATAAGTCCCACAACACAATGCTGTGGGACTTGTCACAGTACTGAAATAAAAGGCAGGTACAAAAAGGAGAGATAACACATAGCATGGGGTGGTCAAGAAATGGGGAAAAAGTGATCTTTGAACAGTGTCAAAAAAGATAAGTGGGAAGTGGGTGAATGAATCATCAAATTACAACCTAAATTAATGGCTTGTGAATTGAGATTGTACTGTAGCTAGACTCTGGAACAAATTACCCTTTAGAATGAGAGATAGTTACATAACCATAATGATGAAAAGTGTTTTTTTCTTTTGACTATAATTAAACTTTTAATTCTTAGTTTTTATTCTGGTAAATAAAAACATAATAAATAGTCAAAAAGAATTTTTATTTGTCATTGACAGTTCAATATAAATTAAATATTAATTCATTTATTCTACTGCACTATTGTCAAAAGTTTTTCAATTTTTACATAAAATGACCATTTCTAAATATTATAGTTTAATGGTCAAAAGAAGTTGAACAAAAGATTAGTAATTTATGAATATGAGAAGATTGTGGTCCTATAATTCTTTCCCCCACCAAAGTTAAAATATAATTGTCAGTCCAAGAAATCACAAACTCTTAGACTAAAAATATCCCAAACAAGTAATGGCAACATTACCAACTCCTCAGACTTCCTTTGCAGCATTACTTTTGATAAAAGTTCTCCAAATAAAATAAAGAATTTTGGCAAATAGACCTTTTAATCTTGTCAAGACAATGTAAGGAAATGCAAGATTATTAAATTGACTCTAGTTACCAATATCAGTCCTTAAGATAATTCTGGGGTTGTTTTGTTTTTGTGCTTTGAATTTTTTTCTGCCACATTGATTGGTGTTTAAGACTGCCTCATAAGTCTTGCATGCTCACCTTCAATTCTTCTATAGCTATATATGACTGTCTTTTGCTGTTTTTTAAATCCTTAACTAGTCCCTTCATTTCATGCATTATCTCCCAGGATTCTTTTTTTTTTTTTGCTTCTTCCCTGCTACTCACGTGCTTCTTGGTGGGTAGTTACCAACATATACAGAATCTGCTTCCCTTTGCAGCTGTACTCACTTGTATCAAAGACTGGATGACACTGGTTTGCTCAATCTCTGATTATTTACCTGCACTAGGATCCAGCCACTTGGCTGTTTTGAATTTTGTGAAAATACTCCCAACTGTATAAACATACAAGAAGACACACAAAGACACACACAATGACAATGACCCAAAAGCCTTTCCTTTCTTCTTCTGGTTCTTCTAAGAGAAACTAAGGCACAAAAAATAAGGCCTCCAAGGGTCTGGGGTCAGTAACTGAAGTCAAGTGGCCCATCTTCTTATAGTGCTCCTTACATTACCCACTTGTTGGTCTGAGAAATAGCAGGAGAATGACTGTTTGAACTTGATTTTTATTTCGGCATTCCCCCACATTTCTGCCATCCCACAAGCCTCACAAACTTCTTAGAAAAGGAAGCTCTTCTCTGGTAGACATGGGAAAGTGTCTTTAACAGCAGTGGCCTTAGGCTGTCAGAGAGAAGGCCATGCCATAACAGATTCAACTAAGAATTTCCTGAAAGAATCCAGATGTTGGTGCATGACAGCTAAAGAGGTGAGAACAAGTGCTGCTCTTGAGCCAGGCCATTGTGACTTACGGAGTTTAGCTGAGGTTGCAACGTGGCCCTCTTGAAGTGAAGACTGGTTGGCTGGGAAGAACTACACTGTGAACGAACAGGGTGGAAACTAGCCCAAATTCCCATAAGTAAACCCTGCCATAGCTAGATTCTCCTAGGTAGTAGTAGGTTTCAGAAGGAAAATATGAGCTGTGCAGGTCATATGAGGGTCTTCTTATCCTATGATGATATCTCTCATAACTCTGGCAGTAACAAGAGCAAAGTAAATCTGGACAAATGAAAGGCGTTTAGACGAATCTGGCAGTGTAACTGGGTTTTAACTGGACACCAAGCAGGCAAGACTGGAAGCTTTTGTTTTCTTTGTGGTTAAGGTTTTGGCCACCTTAAAGGAGAATCATTTTGCCAGGAATTACTGTATAGTCCGCCGCTGTCTTCTTTTGGGCCCAACTGCCACTGCCTGTCAATCCATTGGGAGGCCCAGCAGGTCACAACTGACGTCCCACAGCCGCCTTGCTACTGTCTCATTACGAGCCTGGGCAGAGACCCATGCCAGATGGCAGTCACTGGAAGGGAAAGAGAGAGGCTTGAAGCATAGTGTTAAGAATGGAGTCTACTTCTCTGCCTGGCATAAGGGATATGATAGAAAAACAACCCAGGGACTGCATGTGCTCTTGGAGCTTCACCAGGCCAGTGTTTGTCCTATCTCTTCATTTTCCAGTCTCTACACCAGAGAAAATTTAATTGCCATTTAGATCTCCTCACTAGACCACCTCTGATCAGAATGCTTTGTTTGATTTATAATGCATACCATCTGGTCTTTATATTCCCTTTTCTATGTATTTAATGTAACTCTCATATCAGTGCCTGCCTAACATCTATGTATATCTATCTTCTTCAGTTAAGTCTGGAAAGTCCATTCTACAGGGCCTTGGACAGTGTCATATAGCCGAGATCTTGCTATTTACACTGGTCACAGATAGATGTTTGGAGTGGTAAGAAGATACTTCTTACGTCTGGACTACCTGCAGTTATAACTGTTTGTAAATTCACATGACAAGTAAAGCCAGTTTCAAAAACAAGAAGAGAAGGAGAAGGTGATAGCAAAAAAAAAAAAAAAGGTAACAACAAGGTACCAGGTATGTCTTAGTTCATTTTGTTCTGCTGTAACAGAATATCCCAGACTGGGTAATTATAATATAATGAACAGAAATTTAGCTGAGTATGGTGACTCACTCCTGTAATCTCAGCAACTCAGGAGGCTGAGGCAGAAGGATCACTTGAGGCTCGCAGTTGGAGAAGTTTATTGGCTCATGATCATGGAGGATGTGAAGTGCAAGATGGTGGGGCCAGCATCTGGCGAGGGCCTTCTTGCTGCATCATAACATGGTGAAAGGCATCACACGGGCAAGAGAGAGGGAAGGAGACCCAAAACTCATCCTTTTAAAAGGAACCTACTCCCGCAGTAATGAACCCAGTCCCCAGATAATGGCATTAATCCATTCAAGAGGGCTGCCCTCATGATCGAATCACCTTGTAAAGGTCCCATCTCTCAACACTGTTGTATTGGTGTTTAAGTTTCTAACACATGAACTTTGGGGGATACGCATTCAAATCACAGCAAGGTGTTTCATATACCTTTTCTTCATTGCTGTAATTCCAAGTACCATAATTCCATTAAATGAAGAAGGGATGTCCCAACTGCATCATCCAGAAATTTTCTCAAGGACAGTTTGCTTACTCATTTTTATACTCTCTGCCTCTATTATACAGCAGGTATTAAATGAAGGTTTTTGTGGTTTGTTTTGTTTTTCTGAGACATAGTCTCACTCTGTCACCCCAGCTAGAGTGCTGTGGCATCATCATAGCTCACTGCAACTCAAACTCCAGGGCTCAAGCGATCCTCCTGCCTCAGCCCCCCAAGTAGCTGGGACTACAGGGGTGCGCCACCACACCCAGATAAGTTTTCTATTTTTTGTAGAGATGTCTTATGAGGTCATAACAGTAGGCCCTAATCCAATAGCACGGGTGTCCTTATAAGAAGAGGGAGAGACACCAGGAATGTGTATGCACAGTGGAAGGGCCACATGAGGACACAGGGAGAAGGCATCCATTTGCAAGCCAGGAAGAGAGAAACCAACTCAGCTAGCACCTTGACCTTGGACTTCCAGTCTCCAGAATGTTGAGAAAATAAATTTAGGTTGTTTAAGGCAGCCAGTCTGTGGTATTCTGTTTAGGCAGCCCAAGCAGACTAATACAGCTACCAAGACAATCCAATGGGGAAAAAATAGTCTTTTCAACAAATGGTGCTGA